ATAGATATACACTATATGATTCACACACACACAGAGATATAGTATGATATATTTGAAAGGGACCCCTAAAGAAGGACAATAATATGTTGCATGTTCCAGAGTAGACAAACCAGACAATCTCTACTGACAAAGAAACAACAAGAGAGATAGATAATGATTCACACAGAGAAAGAAATAGTATCATAGATTTGCCATCCGTTGGGGACCCCTCTGGGCCAGAGCGAAGAAAGAGGGGCCAGGGGACAGTTCCACCTTGTCTCCTGTGCTATTCTAATAATATGTTATAATATAATATATTGTATATACATATAATATTTATAATATTGTAATGTAATGCAATATAATACTAGTAATTGTTTTTAAATGAATAATGATTTCGTATTCTGTATATCTAAACTGTTGTAAACCGCTCTGAGTCGCCTAAGGGCTGAGAAGAGCGGTATACAAATAAAGTAAATAAATAAATAAATAAATAAATCCCCACACCCATGAACCCACCACTGTGGACTTCCATGCTTGTTCACTATGATAGCTATACCTTAATTATAAGGTATATCTACCCCAATGGTTTCCAACCATGGGCCATGAGACCTAGAATAAGATCTGCGAGACATGAGTGGGAAAATTGCAACTGTGCATGTGCTGGGGGTGTGCATGCCAGCATTGGAGGAGAGTGGGAGATAAGGGAGGAGGGAGATGCCAGCACGTTGCCCTCACCCTTGCCAGTTCTTTTCAGCCTTAGGAGGCTTCCCAGGGACCCTTAAAGAAGGACTATGATATGTTGCATATTCCAGAGTAGGCAAACCAGACACTCTCCACATCAACACTGACAAAGAAACAGCAAGAAATACTGTTTACCCACAAGCAGAAAGAGATTACATATATTAGAAACCAACACTTTCTCATTACTTTATTTTCCAGATCAACAGACTGGGCCACAGAAACGCCTGGCAGGGGACAGATAGTAATAAATCAATATAAACTCCATCCTTTCCCTTCTCACCTTGCCCGGGTTGGGCCTGGCGACTCTGCCGCCCTCCTTCTCCTTGGGCCTTCCTCCTGAGGCCTTCCTTGGGGCGCCTTTCCCTCGGAGGGCTGTTTTCTTTGGCGTTGGGCAGCCTGGAGACCTACTTCCGGGGGAGAGGCGCCTCTTCTTCGCGCTCGCCTCCCCCTGGGAGCATCCTCTCCCAATCCCCGCCCTCGCGTTCACCTCCTCCGCCAGCGGGGCCGGCGTGGAGGTGACCAGGGGCGCGGCCTCCTCTTCGAAGGTGCGGTAGAGCCCAGAGGAGCGGGCCGAAGCCTCGCCGCAGATTGAGTAAGTAGCCTCCAAGGCCGAGGCATTCTTCCCTTCGCAGCAAAAGGTGCGGTTGGGGCTCGAGGGCGTCTGCGTGAAGGTCTCGCTCAGGATCGAGTCCGTCCACAGCGGCGTCAGCGTCTCGGCCTCAATAGTAGACGGAAGCCGAAGAGGCCCAAAAGGCCGAGGAGGAGTAGGCCTCTCCGCTTCCGCCGCTGCCGCCCTCAGAGCCAGCGCCTCGCACTCCTCGGAGAAGACGCTCCGGTACAGCAGGCTCGGAGTCGCCGGGAAAAACGACCCCTGAGGAGGAGGAGGAGAAGGGTTTGGGCCTTGCAACGCCTCCCTCGCCGGACTCTCCATTTTCCCTCAATGCGACGGTTTCCCTCAGTCACACTTTTTGCTTCACCCGCTTCGGTCTCATTGGCCCAGGTCGGACCAATCGGGAGCCTTGCGACTCCCGATTGGTCCGACCTGGACCAATGAGACCGAAGCGGGTGAAGCGAAAGCGTTTCTAAGGGAAACCCTGAATCTGCGTGCGCCTGCGCAGAAGCTCCTCCTTCCCTCCCCCCAACTGAGAGAAATGGTATGACCCAATCCATCGCCCTTATGGCTAGGTTCCTTCTCTTATGGGACATTCTATTTGTTGGCGGGGGGGGGGCAGCAGTGTTTAATATTTTCTCCACCTTCCCTACGGCGTACGGCAAGGCTGCATACTCTCACCCAACCTTTTTAACTTGTATGCAGAACACATACAAGGACGTCTACAAGGAAGTTGCCTAGGGGACGCCTGGATGATTTGATGTTTTTATCATCCTTGTGGGAGGCTTCTCTCATGTCCCCGCATGAGGAGCTGGAGCTGATAGAGGGAGCTCATCCGCCTCTCCCCCGATTCGAACCTGCGACCTGTTGGTCTTCAGTCCTGCCAGCACAGAGGTTTAACCCACTGTGCCACTGGGGGCTCCATATGCTAATTAAGGTGGCCAATTACATCAGTCACAATTGCCTCAAGTTACCTTCCCACTGAAGCGATCGATTCACATTTGCATGTTTTCGAACTGCTAGGTTAGCAGAAGCTGGGGCTAACAGCAGGAGCTCACCCCGATCCCCGGAATTGAACCGCCGACCTTTCAGTCAGCAAGTTCAGCAGCACAGCGGTTTAACCTGCTGTGCCAGTAGGAGCTCAATAGTACAATATATAAAAAACTCTATATTATTGTTGTTGTTAGAGAACAACTGTTCTATAGGCCTGAGTGCTGAATGTTTGGTCTCACGAAAGCAGTATTTTTCCCCAAAAGGAGGACAGACCCAACTCCTCTGCCAGGCCAGGAATAAAAACCTACTGGCAACGTTCCCTTGCAATTCCTGCCAGGAAGTATCCTGTTCTATCACTCCCCTAACAATGCAAAAACAAAGAGGGCACTGGGATTTGTTCTGTTTTGCCTCCGAACACCATCCAACTGGTGGCAGATCTAGCAAGCAGGAGCAGAGTGCTTTCTATGGTTCTCCCAAACATCCCAAGAGAGCAGTCTATGAAGGTTTAAGCTCCCTCTGTCAGTTCCAGCTCCCCATGTGGGGAAATGTGACACAAGAATGATAAGGATGGCAGCATACAGGGAGCATACCACCCCCGTTATGCCAGCTCCACTGGCTGCGAGTCCATCTCCGAGCCCAATTCAAAGTGCTGGTTTTGACCTATAAAGCTCTATACGGTTCGGGCCCAGCTTCCTTGTCCAAACACATCTGCCCCTATGCCCCACCTCACAACTTAAGATCATCCAGGGAGGCCCTGCTCTCGCTCCCGTCAACAGCACAAATGCGGCGGGCGGGGACGAGGAGCAGGGCCTTCTCGGCTGTGGCCCCCCACCTATGGAACATACTCCCAAAGGAGGTAAGATCTGCTCCCTCTCTCCTGACTTTTAGAAAAAAAAATTAAAATCATGGTTCTGGGACCAGGCCTTCAGACAATAGATGTATGCAGCTTTTTAGAAGAACAAGGACTGGAACAGAGACTCAACCGATGAGACTGTTTTATGTTTTTAATGACTGTTTTGATGTTTTGTGATGTATTGTTTTAATACGATTTATGTCTAATGTGTGGTTTTACTATTGTAAGGCATTGTATTTTGCCATTTCTATGTGTAAACCGCTTTGAGTTCCCCTAGGGCAGTGCTTCTCAACCTGGGGGTCGGGACCCCTGGGGGGGTCACAAGGGAGTGTCAGAGGGGTCACCAAAGACCATCAGAAAACACAGTACTGTATTTTCTGTTGGTCATGGGGATTTTTGTGGGAAGTTTGGCACAATGCTATCGTTGGTGGGGTTCAGAATGCCCTTTGATTGTAGGTGAACTATAAATCCCAGAAACTACAGCTCCCAAATGTCAGGGTCTATCTTCCCCAAAACTCCACCAGTGTTCACAATTCGGCATACTGAGTATTCGTGCCAAGTTTGGTCTAGATCCATCATTGTTTGAGTCCACAGTGCTCTCTGGATGTAGGTGAACTACAACTGCCAAACTCAAGTTCAATGCCCACCAAACCCTTCCAGTATTTTCTGTTGGTCATGGAAGTTCTGTTTGCCAAGTTTGGTTCAATTCCATCTTTGGTGGAGTTCAGAATTCTCTTTGATTGTAGGTGAACTATAAATCCCAGCAACTGCAACTCCCAAATGACAAAATCAACCCCTCCCCAAACCCCAGCAGTGTACAGATTTGGGTGTATCGGATATTTGTGCCAAGTTTGGTCCAGTGACTGAAAATTTTATTTATTTATTTACTATATTTATATACCGCTTTTCTCAGCCTACGGGCGACTCAAAGCAGAAAATACATCCTGCATATCAGATATTTACATCACAATTCATAACAGTGGCAAAATTACAGTTATGAAGTAGCAAGGAAAATAATTTTATGGTTGGGGGTCATCACAACATGAGAAACTGTATTTAAGGGGTCGCGGCATTAGCAAGGTTGAGAAACACTGCCCTAGGGTATATAAATACTGTAAACAATAATAAAACATCAAACACCCGGGCATCTCCTGGGCAACGTCCTTGCAGACAGCCAATTCTCACACACCAAAAGCAACTTGCAGTTTCTAAAGTTGCTCCCGACACAAAAAAATAGTCTATGACTGAGAGGACACAGACATGTCGGCTTCACAGTGGTTTAATATGAACAAGTCTTGGACATTACATTGGACAGTCAACTGAAGACATAAGATCGCTGAATTAGAAGCCCCACATCAGTATATATATATATATATGTACAGCAGCAAGAGCCTTTGATCTTCAGACTTGTGCACCAAATGAAAGAAAGGGTTTCACAAACCCACAGCGAATGCAGATTCAGGAAGCTGCCTCCAATGAGAACGCGAGAACCTTTTCAACAGGAGCAACCTGTGCTCAGGCAGCATCTTCAGAGTGAGTTGCTTTGGCAGATGAGGAGAACAGTCTTCCCTGCTCTCCAGTCACCTCATAAACGGAGAGTGCATTTCCATCGCCTCTTTACCCCCCAAAACATGCAGGGTTTCATGTACAGCTTCTCCTTCCTGCCCTCAGTGTCACGCTCCATCACACGTGGAATAGCAGAAGGTGCAGAAGAGGCAATGTTGAAGTCACTTTATTACTTCCCCATTCCCACATACATACATGCTCTGGCCCCTTATTTGAATCGAGTGAAGACACCCCCATTTTCCGACATGCCTTTCATGGCACCCACAAGACCTCCAAAGCAGATTAAATATTAAACAAAGAGCAGAGAACTTTGCACCTTAACCCTCAGTGGCTGCTGACCCAATCCCCAAGGAAAGTTTCTGTGAACCACAACAGAGGCATGCCAAGTTGCCTGGGACTCAAAAATTCCTAAGTCTAGCTTGGCGAGGCCCGGTTGTGATATTTTCCGTCCCTGCCTGGAGAAACACTGCCCACCCTGCAACTTCCGGAATCAAGAACCAGCCAAAGAATCCAAGAAAGGCTTCATCTGCCCGGACCTCAACAAGCTTCCATTTCTGAGAACCCACAACTCGTTTGCAGAGCCTTGTTTCTCCTAGAGGCAGCAGGAAGGTGCCTCTGGATAGGAAGTCCTTTCTGCCTTTTGTCAACTCATCAAACTGAAAAGATTCTAGGGGTAGGATTAGCAGCGAAGACCAGAAATACTCGGGATAGTGGATTTGTGGACAATGGCCACTTGTAAACTCTTTGCAACTGCTCTCTCAAAGGTGCTTCCAAGCTTTTTTATTTTTTTTGGTCTACTATGCCCTCGTTTCAACAGGGGAAACATTTGCTGCTTTCTGCCATAATGGAGCAAAATGCTAAAGGGATCCTTACAATTGCTGAAGAAGAGCCATGTTCTTCTTAGCACATGCTTGAGATGCCCCCTCCCCATCCTCACCTGCACGTTGTATCCCTCAGCCTCCTTTTCCCAGCAAGCTCTACACATCCATCAACAGGTGCAGCTCTTTGCAGCTCCACACCTTCTATACAGAGACCGAAGACCGACGGAACTCAACTCTGCTGCCTTGACAAAGGGGATCGGGATGCGGTGGCGTGGCAGGCAACACCGGACAAAAGTGGGCATGGGGCGGGGAGGGAAGGAAGTTCAGAGAGAAAAAAGCTGGTTCAGAAGAAGAGAGTGTAAAAATAAATGTCATTTTTGCAAGGGTGGGGTGGGGGAAGAGGAAAAAATGGAGGACGCTGGGCTCCCCTATTGGCGGACCTTCCCTGGGACGTAATTCCTATCAATGATCTCCTCTTGCAGGAACATGTGTAAGCAACGCTCGTTCTGTGCCAGCGGGTGTCCAGCGATTCTGCCGGGAACAAAGGGAAACAACACTGTTGTTAGCAAATGGCAACCTCCTAGAACCAGAAAGAGAACAATCATGTTTCAAGCACAATAGTAACAAACACTGGCATCTTAGGGCTTAGTGAGAAGAGACAATAGCTACCGTATATACTTGAGTATAAACCGAGGCACCTAATTTTACCACCAAAAAATGAGACAACTTCTTGACTCAAGTATAAGTCGAGGGTGGGAAATGCAGCAGCTACTGGTAATACAAAATAAATATAGATACCAATAAAATTACATTAATTGAGGAAACAGTAGGTTAAATGATTTTCAATGTTTACATAAAACTGTAATTTAAAATAAGACTGACCTACCTTGATTAAACCATTATTCTAACCTTTTTTTAGTGTAAATATGCTTACGTATCCTTCCAATAATAAAAAAAGTAAAATAATAAATGTAAAAAAATAAATAGAATAAAATAAATGTAATAAAATAATAGAGTAAAATAATGCCAATGTAATAATGCCAATAATGGAGTAAAATAATAAATGTAATAATAATAATAAAGTACAATAAATGTAATAAAATAATAATAGAGTAAAATAATGCAAATGTAATAATGCCAATTATAGAGTAAAATAACAAATGTAATAATAGAGTACAATACGTGTGATAAAATAATAATAGAGTAAAATAACGTAAATGTAATAAATACCGATAAAAGAGTAAAATAATAAATGTAATAAAAATAATAGTAATAACAGAGTAAAATAATAAATAATTTTGATTTGAGTATAAGCCGAGGACAGCTTTTTCAGCCTAAAAAAGGGGCTGAAAAACTATGCTTATACTTGAGTATATACAGTATTTATTATGTCAGAAACGAGAGTATAGTTAACATGTATTTAAAAACACTAAGCTTAAAAATTTGGCATTATGCTAAATGTCCTTTGACCAGAAGCTGGCCACTTGGAGTGCCCCTGGTGTTGATGTGAGAAGGTTCCTCCATTCTGCACATGGCAGGGATCAGACTGCATTGTAGTCAGTAGTCTGTGGTTTGCTGTTCTCCACATTCGCATATTGTGGACTCCACTTTGTGGCCCAATTCCTTAAGACTGGCTCCGCATCTTGTGGTGCCCGAGCTCAGCCTGTTCAGTGCCATCCACGTCGCCCAATCTTCTGTGTGCTCAGGAGGGAGTTTCTCATCTGGTCTCAGCCACTGATTAAGGTGCTGGGTTTTAACCTGCCACTTTTGGACTCTGGCTTGCTGAGGTGTTCCTGTAAGTATCTCTCTCGATCTTAGAAAGCTGTTTCTTGATTTAAAGGGTTGGTGTGCAGGTTGATATCCAAACAGAGAATGGGCTGGAGATGTCACTGCCTTGATCCTTTCATTATTGGCTGCTACGTCCTGAAAGATGTCAGGTGGTGCAATACCACCTAGACAGCATAATTTCTCCATGGCGTGGGGCACAGACATCCTGTGATAATGTAGCATTTCTTATTAAGAGCCACATCCACTGTTTTAACGGTGCAATGTATTCCACACTGGGCATGTGTATTCAGCAGCAGAACAGCCAAGCACAAGGGCAGTTGTCTTCACTGTGTCTCGTTGTGATCCCCAGGTTGTGCCATTCTGCTTTCGTACGATATTATTTCTAGCACCCACTTTTTGCTTGATACTCAAGCAGTGCTTCTTATAAGTCAGAGCAAAGTCCAGAGTGACTCCGAGGTATTTGGGTGTGCTGCAATGCTCCAGTGGGATTCCTTCCCAGGTAATCCTCAGAGCTCTGGATGCTTGCATGTCCTTAAGATGAAAAGCAAATGACTGCATTCTAGATGGATTAGGAATCAGCTGGTTTTCCCTGTCATAGGGAATAAGAGCACCTAAAGCTTCGCAGAGCTCTTGTTCAACCATTTCAAAGCTCCCTGCTTGAGCGGTGATGGCACGATTGTCAGCGTAGATGAAACTCTCTGTCCTTTCTGGCAGTGGCTGATTATTTGTGTAAATGTCAAACATTGATGGAGCAAGCATGCTCCCCTAGGCAGGCCCTTCTTCTGTTTTCACCATTTGCTTCTCTGGCCCTGGAACTCAACAAAAAAGCTCCTGTTTTGTAGTGGATTTCCTATGAAATGGTGAAGTGGTAATCATTTGTGATAATATATATTTTTCTCAGGAGAAGGCAATGATTTGCAGTATCATATGCTGCTGACAGGTCTATGAACACAGCTCCGATAATCTGCTGCCTTTCAAAACCATCTATAGCAGGCTTGGCCAAACTTTGGCCCTCCAGGTGTTTTGGGCCTCAACTCTCACAATTCCTGACCTCAGGCCCTTTCCTTTTCCCCCTCAGCTGCTTAAGCGAAAAACAAGGGGGGAAAGGAAGCGGCCTGAGGTCAGGAAATGTGGGAATCAAAGTCGAAAACACCAAAGTTTGCCCATGCCTGATCTATAGGGCCAGGGATTTTGCTATCCCGGGCAGCCATCCTTCCTTCATGCTTGCTACCAATTTATTTATTTACAGTATTTATATTCTGTCCTTCTCACCCCGCAGGGGACTCAGGGTGGATTACAATGTACGCATAATATGGCAAACATTCAATGCCAAAGACACACAACAGATATAGACAAACAGTCAGAGGCTATTTAACTTTTCTGGCCGCCAGGGGAGCTGTCACTTTCATCGTCCATCTGCAACACTGATGAAGTACTTCCGCATTCCCTGCATGCTTTTGCTGGAGTGCTTTGCTGGAGTTTTTTTTATGGCCTCATAAATTAGTTAAATTAGCCTCCCCACACATAGGTGGTACCTAATTTTCCTACATGACAGATGCAACTTGTCTTTCCGGTTGCAAAGGTCGACAACAAGCTACACAATTGGTCGGAAGCTCACTCCAACCCGGGCTGGCTTTGAACTCATGACCTTTTGGTCAGAAGTGATCTTAATGCAGCTGACACTCAGACAGCTGCGCCACAGTCAACCAACTCCACTTCTCCAGAGCCTTTTAGGATACACATAAGAAACAGAGGGATAGGAAGTTTATTCTTTGACCCTGTGTGATTTAGGGTGGCTCTGCAGTATCATGTACTGAACAACATTAGGGACTGGGCCTACATCTTAGTAGAGAACCAGGCCTGGAAAACAAGTAGGCAGGTCTGTGTATGCATATGAATGAGAGAAGGTGCTTCCAGTGTGTATTGCAAGACTTCAAAATAAGAGAAATAACCAGTTCCAGAGTGTGCTTGTGCTGCAAGGCTTCCATGACGATTCCGGCCCAGCTTATCTATCCGAATGTATCTCTTCCTATGAACCCACCAGGAACTTGAGATCGTCGGAGGAGGCCCTTCTCTTGATCCCGCCTGCTTCGCAAGCATGTCTGGCGGGGATGAGAGACAGGGCCTTTTCTGTGGCAGCCCCTCGGCTGTGGAACTCCCTGCCTAGGGATATTAGATCAGCCCCCTCCCTCCTGACCTTTCGACAAAGAGTGAAAACTTGGCTCTTCGAGCAAGGATTCAGAACCTCGGGGCAAACAGACAAACTTGAATCGGAAAAAGACCCAGGAACGGCCAAGATGATGGAACGGATGAGGATTTGAACGAGAGGATATAGTTTTTAAAATTTTTATTCATTGTTTTTTATGTTTTTAAATGTATTGTAATGTTTCTTTTTTGCTTTTTATCAATGTATGTATTTTATATATGGCATCGGATTGTGCCAACTTTGTATGCTACCCTGAGTCACCTTCGGGCTGATATGGGAGGGACAGAAGTAGTGTAAATATATAATAAATAAATAAATGACCACTAAAGCCATAGATCTTTACATACACTTATGCCACAGACATGCACGTTTTATATCAGAACTACTTCCCTCCAAACAAATAGGATTTTAGAATTTCATAATGCACAGTAGTGGCTGGGTGCAAATCTCCACCAGGGAGAAAGGCATATTGCTGAATCACAGATTTGTGCGGTTGAGGAAGTGGGCGCAGCTCTACTTCCTCCCTGGCAGCAACAGTCCGGGAAGGCAGAAGCCAAAGCATATTAAGAAGATGCCAAAATGAAGGAGACAATAGGAAAAGAGAAGTGGGGAGGCAGGCAATCTTTGATTAGTTACAATTCAGGGTGTTTGGAGGGATTCTAAGTGAGATGTCATGTGTCTTGGAACCTGTGTTGTTCCTATGCCATCTCTCTTAGAATCCCTCCACTGTTAGTTCCAACAGACCTCACTACCTCTGAGGAAGCTTGCCATAGATGCAGGCGAAACATCAGGAGAGAATGCCTCTAGACCATGGCCATATAGCCCGAAAAAACCTACAACAACCCAGTGATTCCGGCCATGAAAGCTTTCGACAACACAATCCCTCCACTTCTCCCAAAACAGCACAGACCCCTGCCCGCCTTACTTGTTTATGAACTGTTCTAAGCCCTGTCTTCGTTCTTCTATGAAGGACTCCTCAAAGATGCCTTCATCTCCTCGGAAAGGGAGCTGGCGTTTCAAGGCTTTGCCAGGCAGCGGAGGCACTACAATCTGGAAGGGAAGAGCATCGTATCAGGAGGAGGGCGGGCATTCTCCGACTTCTGCTTCTCCCCACAGAAAAGAGATCGGGGAGGTAACTCCGCCACAGAAATACAGACGGGTCTTGTGACAAAACTAGAAGTGGGCATGGAAGGAGACTCATCCCATCTTACCCACCTTACTGTCACGCTCCAGCTCATTTTTCAACCACTCAAAGTCACTGTATCGTCGCCTCACACAGGATTCTTTCAATTTGAAGATAGGCAGGTTTGTCTGCAAGGAGGAAAAAAAAGTTACCAGCATAATTCAATTAGCAAACTCTCCCCACACATACGTGGTACCTACTTTTCAGTACCTAATTTTCCTACTTGACAGATGCAACTGTCTTTCGAGTTGCAAAGGTCAACAACAAGCTACACAATTGGTCGGAAGCTCACTCTGACCCAGGCTGGCTTCGAACTCATGACCTTTTGGTCAGAAGTGAGAGTCGCTTTACACTCACAGACCTCTTTCTTTCCTCATTTTCTGTCTAGCAGTCAGTGCTTGTCAATCTGTCGTCCCCCCCCCCCCCCCCCCCCCCCCCCCCAGATGTTTTGGCCTTCAACTCCCAGAAATCCTGGTAAACAGGATGGGATTCCTGGGAGTTGTAGGCCAAAACAACTGGAGACCCACAGGTTGAGAACCACTGAGCTAGCTGGATGGGTCGTTAACAGCATTGGGAGGATTGCTGAAGGAAAGCTGGAGGAACACAGTACCCACTGAAGCTCTATCTCCAGTCCTTGTTTCCATAAGCCAAATTGTTCAAAATCCAATGATCACGGGGAGAGGAAGTGAGACGAAATTTTCTTAATAGGGACATAGACAGTAGAATAAATACCACAGGGGTGTTAATTCTTTCCTATGCTAGCCAAAGATAACACACACACACACACACACATATATATGGTTGGAATTACACTTTAAAAGTACGTGTTCTTACATAAAAATTAAACTCAAGAACACACCTATCTTATTTGTAATTTGGGGATTCTAAAAACTCTAAAATTACAACAGCAAAACAACAGAGAGGAAACAAAGGACATCTAATTACCTCTCAACAAAAGATTGCCCCAGGCACTGCCAGACCATCAAATGCTAATCAAGGTGTTCAGTTGAAACATTCACACCTAGCTCCAACAGACAAGAGTCCTTTGTCCCACCCTGGTCATTCCACAGATATATAAACCCATTTTCCTAGTTCCAACAGACCTCACTATCTCTGAAGATGATTGCCATAGATCAGGGCTCCTCAAACTTTTTAACAGAGGGCTAGGTCACAGTCCCTCAAACTGGCCCTACTCACCCCAACTATTCTTACCCTCGTGCTCTCCCTACGCTCTCTCTAATAATCCAAGCACACCCATTCCCCTCTCTCTCCTTCTCTCCTTGACACTTTCCTTGCCACCCTCTCACACTCACTCCACTTCTTGGGCCTGAGTGGAATGGCACCCCCGTCCTCCCCTCCCAGCCCCACCCCACCATATCACCCATCTTCTATCTACTCCCTCTTCCTAACTCTCGTCCTCGTTAATTCATATCGTACTCGCGATATATTCTTCCCAGCGACTGGTACACCCAGACCCCTCCCTCACTCTTCCCTTAGTGTTTCTGCCATGCCCTCCCACCCCCTTCCCTGTGATGGGCCATCTGTCCGGGTACCTTTTTTTTTCCCATCTCTCCCTCAACATTTTTAACACCCAGTCTTACTATCTTCAGGGGGTTGGACTGGATGGCACATGAGGTCTCTTCCATCTCCTTGATTCTATAATTCTAGCGAGGGCCAGGTCAATGACCTTGGAGGGCCGTATCCGGCCCCCGGGCCTTAGTTTGAGGACTCCTGCCATTGATGCAGGCGAAATGCCAGGAGAGAATGCTTCTAGAACAGTGGTTCTCAACCTTGCTAATGCCGTGACCCCCTTAATGCCGTTCCATATGTTGTGGTGACCCCCAACCAGAATATTGTTTTTGTTGCTACTTGATACCTGTCATTTTAGTACTGTTATAAATCGCAATGTAAATATCTGATATGCAGGATGTATTTTCATTCACTGGACTAAATTGAGCACAAATACCCAATATGCCCAAATGTGAATGCTAGTGGGGTTGGGGGGGAGGATTGATTTTGTAATTTGGGAGTTGTAGTTGCTGGGATTTATAGTTCACCTATAATCAAAGAGCATTCTGAACTCCACCAGTGATGGATTTAAACCGAACTTGGCACACAGAACTCCCATGACCAACAGAAAACACTGGAAGGGTTTGGTGGGCATTGACCTTGAGTTTGGGAGTTGTAGTTCACCTATATCCAGAGGAGCACTGTGGACTCATACAATGATGGATCTGGACCAAACTTGGCACAAATCCTCAATATGCCCAAATGTGAACACTGGTGGAGTCTGGAGAAAATAGATCTTGACATTTGGGAATTGTAGTTGCTGGGATTTATAGTTCATTGCAATCAAAGAACATTCTGAACTCACCAACAATAGAATTGGGTCAAACTTCCCACACAGAATCCCAATGACCACCAGGAAATACTATGTTTTCTGATGGTCTTTGGCGACCCCTTTGACACCCCCTCACAACCCCCTCGGGGGTCCTGACCCCCAGGTTGAGAAACACTGTTCTAGAACATGGCCATATAGCCCCAAAAAACCCTACAACAACCCAATATAAACCTAATTTGGGGACTGCCTGTACTCATTTTGCAACGACAGTCTGCACAAGGGATCCACAGGCATGTTTCAGGGTATCCCTAACAATTTCTCAAGGGAAAAGATAACATCCCCAAGAGTCCGTCTGCCAAAGACTTCACAGCAGCTTTTGGCAAATGACAAAGAGCTCATTTTACAGAGAAAACACACCAAATGAAATGTTGTATGCAGATAACCAGCAAGCTGCACCAACAGCCAACAAATGTGGAGGAGGAATTGTCAAGTATTTCACACCCCTTTATCTCTGGTTGCTTGGTTCTGACTAGTCTCCATGAAGAGCCCAGGACTGGTTCAGCCAGCAGACCCAGGAAGGCTCCAGCTGCAGCCAACCTTTTGCTATGAAATGAGGCCTCTTCCGGCAAGAGAACAGTTCAGACAAGTTAAACTGTAACCGGCAGAGAGACAAGGCTATCAGTGCTGAACCTTCTGGAAAAGGCTTTCCATACAAATGTGGCTCTCCCACAAAACACAGCCCTCTGTTATCACTCAACAGGCAAAATGAAGCCTGAATAGATAACACAACACCCATTTACCCTCATGCCTTGCACTCTTTGCCACCAACATTAACTTTTAGAGTGGCTTTCCCTCTCCTTTTCTGCAGAGGAGGCCAATACAGCTGTGGAAATTAATATTAAGGCTACCTTCATACAGTATACAGGCAGTCCCCAAGTTACAGACATCCAACTCCTAGTTAAGAACGGGGATGAGACTGCGCACTGGGATTGTGGCGCAGCTGGATGAGTGTCAGCTGCATTAAGATCACTCTGACCAAAAAGGTCATGAGTTCGAAGCCAGCCCGGGTTGGAGTGGGTTTCCAACCAATTGTGTGTAGCCTGTTGTCAACCTTTGCAATCTGAAAGACAGTTGCATCTGTCAAGTAGGAAAATAAGGTACCACCTTAAAGTGTGGGGAGGCTAAATTAACTCATTTATGAGGCCATGAAGAAGACTCCAGGAGAAGCATGCAGGGAATGTGGAAGTGCTTCATCAGCGTCGCAGATGGACAATGAAAGCGACAGTTCCCCTGGCAGCCAGAAAAAGTTAAATAGCCTCTGTCTATGTATTGGTGGAGTTTGTATGTCAAAAATTGGCATTGAATGTTTGCCATATATGTGTACACTGTAATCCGCCCCGAGTCCCCTGCATGGTGAGAAGGGCGGAATATAAAAAGCTGCAAATAAATAAAAATAAAATAAACAGGAAGTGAGAGTAATCTACCCAATGGATGGGAAATTCACTCCTGGTTTTTTTCTTTTGTTCATCTGTTTTCTTTTCTACATACACTATAAAGCAATAAAATTATTTTTAAAAAAGGAAATTCACTCCTGAAGCATGGGGAGATGGGGTTTCCACTGAAGCTTTCTCTCCAATCCTTGTTTCTACAAGCACCCAAAATTTCCAAAATCCAATTCTCACAGGGACAGAAAGTGAGGTGGAAACAATTAATATACAGGGCATATATGGAGCAATAAGTCTATGTGAACTCAATGTGGATTCTTTCCAAGGAGAGAGAGAGATCTCTCACACATATATATGTATGTTGTTGTTTATTCGTTCTGTTGCTTCCGACTCTTCGTGACCTCATGGACCAGCCATGAGTCCATATAGCAGTAAGTCCATGTGAACTCAATGCGGCTTCTTTCTGAATAGATTGGGCTCCGCCCGTAACCCAGTGTTTTCCAGATGTTAGCCTCCCACTTCAGCTCCCAAAATTCCTGGCTGGGGGTTCCAGGCCTGGAAGTTGCCTTTAGTGCTCTAGAAAGGGGAAGATACGGCTGGTGGGGGGTGGGGAGGATGGTTGTTCTAACTGAACTCTCCCTGTTGGAAGGGGAAACCATAGCTGATGGTTGCTATCACTCAACCCTCTCCCTGAAAGACAAAGCCTGGTTTAGTGGAGGGATAATAATAATAATAATAATAGTCATTGTAGCTCAGTTTTCCCTCCAAGAATGGGAATGCCATGCCTTTTGGGTGGATGATGACTGTTATAATCTAATCCTCCCTCCCCAAAATGGAAAGTCAAGGCTGCTGTAGTCCAACCCTCCTCCACAGAAAGGAGAAGTTATAGCTCAGAGTTCCTCAACCCGGGGCTTGGGACCCTGGGGGGGGGGGGGGTTTGCAAGGGAGGTATCGGAGGGGTCGCCAAAGACCAGAAGAAAACATATATTTCTGATGGCTTTAGGAACCCCTTCCGTAGAGAAGTCTGAAGAACAGACCACAAATCCTCCCACCAAAAGCCATCCTCTGCTGTGATTGGCTGGCCTCCCAGCCAAGGAGAGGGCTGTTTCTGAGACTCTAAGCAGGAAGGGGAGAGCGGTGCTTGCATGGCAGCATGGTGCGCATGTGTGGGCAAGAGAGAGCGTGTGAGGCTGGAGGGAGGTTTGCACCAGTGAGTCCCTTCAAGGCATATGAGTTCTGTGTAGGATGTTTGGCCCAATCATATCGTTTGTGGAGTGCAATATGCTCTTTGATTGTAGGTGAACTATAAATCCCAGCAACCACAACTCCCAAATGTCAAGGT